CACTTTTCCTCCTACCCATTCAGTTTTTCTATAGTTCTTTAAATGGTTAGTATTTGCCACTCTTTTATTTAAGTTTCTCAAGTCATAAATTTGTGAGGTATCTTACTCTTCTTATTCATTCCCCACCATTCCAGCATACTCATCAACCAAAGCCTACACTGTCCATGCTTATTATCAAGGTCTAGATTAATTCAAGCACTAACCATTTTTTATGGTGAACTTTTGACTTTTTTTCTTTTTTTTTTTTTTGTCAATTGTGGGGCCTGAACTCTGGGCCTCGGCGCTGTCCCTCCACTCTTCAGCTCTATCACTGGAGTGCATCAGCCCCACTTTTGGCTTTTTTTGCTTATGTAGTGCTGAGGAATCGAACCAAGGGCCTCATGCATGCAAGGCAAGCACTCTACCACTGAGTCACCTCCAAGCCCCGACTTTTTTTCTTATGGTGAACTTTTGACTTTTTTTTTTTTTTTTGGCAGAGCTAGGGATTGAACCCAGGAAATCACACATGCTAGGCAAGCACTGTACCACTGAGATACATCCTAAGCCTCCTTATCAGTGGGGTCTTAGTAGCTTTCCCTTCTATTAGTCTATAACTATAGTGTGGTGACAGACTAGTCACTTTTCTGTCTAAAGCAATCTGGCTTAATTTACACTAGTGTAATAAAAAGATAATGAACATCATCAGAGCCCAGCCTTGCTCTTCTCCCTTTCTGTGAAGATGTTCTTTTTTCCTTCTCCTGCTAACAACTCCTCCTCATTTTCTCCTAGCCTCTGAATAGTTAGAACCAACTGAGCAGTGGAGAGGTCTAATGAGTCAAGACAGTCAAGGGATTCCTACTTAGCAACCTGAATAAGGAGTTCAATTTAGTCTGAACCTCATCAGTCTTGACTATGGATCTCAAAGGATAGAAGGGAAATCAAGCAGGTCTGCAATTATTCCTTGCTCTGAAACATCCTCCCATGAAGGAATAGAGAAGACAGTAGAGTAATACCATAGACCATAAAGCTGAAAGCTAATTGTTACCATCATTAAATTTTGGGTTTTTTCTAAAATGTTGTCTGTTTTGATCAAATCCAGGCTCTCACTAATATTAAGCAAGCCTTAGTCACTGAGCTTTACACCAGCAGCCTCATTAATTTTTCTTCTAATTTTCTTTTTTATTTGGTCTGTCATAGGGCTTGAACTCTGGGCATGGGCGCTGTCCCTCAGCTCTTCAGCTCAAGGCAAGCGCTCTACCACTTGAGCCACAGCATCACGTCTGGTTTTCTTGTGGTTTATTGGAGATAAGAATTTCATAGACTTTCCTGCCCGGGCTGGCTTTGAACCGGGATCCTCAGATCTCAGCCTCCTGAGAAGCTAGGATTACAGGCAGGAACCACCAGTGCCCGGCTTCTTCTAATTTTTATTTTTTTCAATAGTGGAGACTGATTTCAGGACCTCCAACATGCTAGGCAAACACTCAACCATTTGAACCACATCCTCAAACCTTTTTTTTGGGGGGGGGGTCCGGTCATGGGGCCTGAACTCTGGGCCTGGGCGCTGTCCCTCAGCTCGTCAGCTCAAGGCTAGTGCTCTACCACTTGAGCCACAGCACCACTTCCGTTTTCTTTTTGCTTATGGGGTGCTGAGGAATTGAACCCAGGGCCTCTGCATGCAAGGCAAGTGCTCTACCACTGAGCCACCTTCCCAGCCCCCTTGTTTTTTATTTTGGAATAAACTCTCACTAACTTTTACCTAGACTGGCCTTGAACCTAAGATCCTCCTGCCTTCTACTTTGGAGTATCTTGAACTACAAGTATGTGTTACCCAGCTCCTTCTTTATAATTACTGTTATTTTGTGCCAATCCTGGGGCTTGAACTCAGACTGGGATGCTGTTTCTAAGCTAATGCCCACCACCTGAGCCACAGCTCCACTTCCAGATTTTTGGTGGTTAACTAGAGATAATAATCTCAGACTTCTTTCATGCTGGAGCTAGCTTTGAACCATGATCCTCCAGTTTCAGCCTCTTGTGTAGCTAGGATTACAGATGTGAGCCACCAGCACCGGGTTCTTCATTAAGTTCTTGATGAACTATTTACTATGAATTTAGAGTGAGTAACCTTCAACTTTAATGGAAATGGTGACTAAGAAGAGACAGCAACAGAATACTTTTTTCTTTTTTGAGATAGGGTCTCACTGTGTTGCCCAAGCTGATTTCAGTCTCCTTATAGTCCCACCTTAGCCTCCTGAGAAGCTGGGATTACTGGTGTGCCAAAGGATATGATTTAAAGACTAATTTTTTTTAACATGTTGTTGCTAATAATATATCTATTTAAGTACAGTTAAAAACGCGTTCATCATACAATTAAAATTTAAAACAAAGCCAGGTACCAGCATTTCACACATATAATCCTAGTTACTCCAGAGGCTGCGACTGAATGGTAACAGTTCACAACCAGCTTGGGCATAAAAGTCCTCCAAAATAATCAACAAAAGCTGAACTGGAGGTATGCCATAAATGGTAGAATGCCAGTCCTAAACAAGAAAGCCAAGGAGAGCTCAAGGCACTGAGCTGACCAAAACAAACATAAACAAAAACAGCTAGAAACCTTTCAACCATAGATTAGAAAAAGTTTAAGTTCCTTAGTGGAGTATACAATATTCTTAAATTGGCTCCTAGTAACCATCCAGCTTCATTATTGTTATTATGTGCTTCATTCTTCTTGCTCTAACAAAAATAATCCATTTTATGGTTACATACAACACATTAACTGTAACCCCTCTGTACATCACCTCGACAATAAAAGTTTTTAAAAAAACACAAAAAATAACATTGCTGGGGCTGGGAAGGTGGCTCAGTGGTAGAGTGCTTGCCTTGCATGCATGAGGCCCTGGGTTCGATTCTTCAACACCACATACGCAGAAAAAGCTGGAAGTGGTGCTATGGCTCCAGTGGTAGAGCGCTAGCCTTGAGCTGACGAGCTGAGGGACAGCGCCCAGGCCCAGAGTTCAGGCCCCATGACTGGCAAAAATAAAAATAAAAAAATAACATTGCTTTCATATTTAAGTACTACTGTACACGCAGTTTCTTTGAGCAATTTGTTGTTATCCTCCTAAAATTCTAGCTCCACAGTGACCAGTTATCTCATATGAGAGTTTTCATGCTTACTCAAGACAATTACAGTGAATTCCAAATGGCTGATTAATCTACTCCATAAAGACAGGAAATGTGAGCAGGGCACCAATGGCTCATGCCTGTAATCCTAGCTACTCAGGAGGCTGAGATCTGAGGATCACGGTTCAAAGCCAGCCTGGACAGGAAAGTCCATGAGACTCTTATCTCCAATTAACCACCAGAAAACTGGAAGCTCAAGTGGTAGAGAGCTTGCCTTGAACTGAAGAGCTCAAGGACAGTGCCCAGGTCCAGAGTCAAGCCCCACACCTCCCCCCCCAAAAAAAATTTTTTTTGAAGGCAGCCCAGAACAGGAAAGTCCATGAGACTCTTATCTTGAATTAACATGCTCCAGGACCGGAATTTAAAAAAAAAAAATCCAAACACAGTAATTTCAGTGATACTATACTTGTTCTTTATCCTATACCAGTCAGAGAAGAATGCCAAAGTCTAATGTGCACATAATATATCTGATGGAGCTGGGAATGTGGCTTAGTGGTAGAGTGCTTGTCTAGCATGCATGAAGCCCAAGGTTAGATTCCTCAGTACAACATATACGGAAAAAGCTGAAAGTGGTGCTGTGGCTCAAATGACAGAGCTCTAGCCTTGAGCAAAAGAAGCTCAGGGGCAGTGCCCAGGCCCTGGGTTCAAGCCCCAAGACTGGCAAAAAAAAGAAAAAAAAAGAAAAAATATATATCTGATATCACAAATGTAATGTGGACAAATAACCAGAGAAAAAGAAAAAATCTTCTGAATTTAACAATCAGATCTTGACTGCTTATACTACAAAAGTGAAGTATTGGATAGAAGGCAATTACCAACTAGTGTTTACTCTGAAAAGAACAATTTGAGAAAAGTTCAAGTACCTAAAGAAAGAGGTATGTTCTCCACTAAAGAAGGGAATAGTACTAAGAACTCAATGCATAGGGCTGGGAAGGTGGCTCAGTGGTAGAGCGCTTGCCTTGCATGCATGAGGCCCTGGGTTTGATTCCTCAGCACCACATAAGCAGGAAAAAAGGCGGAAGTGGCACTGTGGCTCAAGTGGTAGAGCGCTAGCCTTGAGCTGAAGAGCTGAGAGACAGCACCCAGGCCCAAAGTTCAGGCCACACGACCGGACCCAAAACAAAGCAAAACAAAACTCAATGCATATTTCAATTTGCTTAGGGTCACAACATTAAAGTTTATTGACTGATAAATAGTTCTCTGAAGATTCCTTTAGAATCTGAATAGTTTTTATGACAGTAATACAATCCCTCTATAAGTTGTTCCATTAATAAACTGATATGATCCTCAGAAAAGTACAACAAATACTTGTAAATAAAAGTCCTTAAGGCTAGGAATGTGGCTCAGTGATAGAGTGCTTGCCTAGCATTCATGAAGCCCTGGGTTCAATTCCTCAGTACCACATGAACAGAAAAAGCCCGGTGGGCCCTGGTGGATCATGCCTGTAATCCTAGTTACACAGGAGGCTGAGATCTGAGGATGTTGGTTCAAAGCCAGCCCAGGCAGGAAATTCCCCATGAGACTCTAATCTCCAATTAACTGCCAGAAAAGTGGAAGTGGTACTGTGGCTCAGATGGTAGAGTGCTAACCTTGAGTCAAAGAAGCCTTAGGACTGGCAAAAAAAAAAAAAAAAAGTCCTTATAATTCTTTTTCTGTACCTTTTCTTTACTAGCACTGAGAAGCACCATTGATAGAGTACTCAATTTTAAATTGTTCCTACGGTTCAAATACCAGATTCAGGTAAACAGAAAAAAACTGTACTATTAGGTTTACTTACAATCCAATCCAATTGAATTCCTGAAACCCAGCAAGAGTAGTTAAACTTTATTTGGTTACTACATTACCTGTTGTTCAGCAAAATGTTGGAACACTTAATATCTCGATGCAGGAAATTCTTTTTGTGACAGTAATCCAATCCTTCCATAAGCTGTTTCATGAATGATTTGATATGGTCCTCAGAAAAGTGCACCAAACCAGATTCTAGCAGTCCCATTAAATCATGGTCCATATACTCAAAGACAAGGTAAAAAGCACCTATAAAATGAAAACAATTACTTAAAAATGGAATTGAAAACAAATTTTAATATAATAATTTTGAAGTTGACCATGAACTCAAATAATGTTGTGATTTTCTTTATTTTTTATTTTTTGGGTAGTGCTTCTGGGGCTTGAACTCAGAGCATTGGTCATGTTTTTGCTCAAGGCTAGTGCTCTATCACTTGACACACAGCTCTACTTCTGGATTTTGGTTGGTTAATTGGAGATAAAGAGTTTTATGGGGCTGGGAAGTTGGCTCAGTGGTAGAGTGCTTACCTTGTACACTTGAGGACCTGGGTTTGATTCCTTAGTACCACATAATCAGAAAAATCGTGAAGTAGCATTGTAGCTCAAGTGACAGGATGCCAGCCTTGAGCTGAAAAGCTGAGGGACAGTGCCCAGGCCTAGAGTTCAGTTCCCATGACCGACCCCCCCCCCCAAAAAAAAAAGCGTCTTTCCTTCCCTAGCTGGCTTTGAACTGTAATCCTCATATCTCAGATTTCTGAGTAGCTAGGATTATAGGTATGAACCACTGGAGCTTTTTCTTTTTTTGGTGTTAATGAGTTTGAACTCAAGGCATTGAGCTCTTGCACAACTTTTCAATGGCATTCTACTTGGGTCACAAAGTTAACTGGAAGCCTGTCTGCCCAAGCTGGCTTGAGCCACATTTCTACTTCTGGCTTTTTGATGGTTAACTGGAGGTAACAGTCTTATGGACTTTCCTACCTGGTCTGGCTTTGAACTACAATCCTCAGATCTCAACCTCTTGAGTAGCTAGTTATAAGTGTGAGCCACTGGCACCCAGCCATAAGCATATTTTTGATAAATTAAGTTCATATTTCTCCTGTTTGTCAAGTTTGAGGCCAGCTGGGGCTACGTGATAAGTTGAAGGCTAGCCAGGACTGCAACTCTTAAGAGTAAACTCAGGGCCCTCAAGGTTTTTAGGCAAGTGTGAGATCACTGGACTACATCTCTAGCCATTCAGTTAGATGGACTCATTGACTGATTGAGATTGACTGATATTGTGGTTTGAACTAAGGACCTCATAGTTTCTTTTTTAGAACTTTTTTTTTTTGTCGGTCGTGGGGCTTGAACTCTGGGCCTGAGCAATGTCCCTCAGCTCTTCAGCTCAACACCAGTGCTCTACCACTTGAGCTACAGCACCACTTCCAAGGACCTCATAGTTTCTAAGTAGGCACACATCAATTTAGCCATACCTCCAGTTCCTAGAAAAGTCTATGAGACTTTTTATCTTTAATGAACTACTCAGAAAAAGCTGGAAGTGGGCTGGGAAGGTGGCTCAGTGGTAGAGCGCTTGCCTTGCATGCCTGAGGCCCTGGGTTCAATTCCTCAGCACCACATATGCAAGAAGAAAAAAGCCAGAAGTGGCGCTGTGGCTCAAGTGGTAGAGCGCTAGCCTTGAGCTGAAGAGCTGAGGGACAGCGCCCAAGCCCAGAGTTCAGGCCCCACGACAGGACCAAAAAAAAAAAAAAAAAAAAGCTGGAAGTGGTGCTGTGGCTAAGGTGGTATTAAGCAAAAGAAGCTTGAGGATAGAGTCCAGGCCCAGAGTTCAAGCCCAAGGACAGGCTTTGGACCTCAATCCTCAGATCTCAGTCTCTTGAGTGGCTAGGATTACAGGTACAAACCACCAGAGCCCAGCATATATTCTTAATGTTGGGGAGAATACAGTAAGATAAGCATGACAATTTTCTTTCATAAAATGAATCTAATTTTAACTAAGGAAACTCCTTTGACTAATTCTTTTTTTTTGGGTCATGGGGCTTGAACTCTGGGCCTGGGCACTGTCCCTGTGCTCTTCAGCTCAAGGTGAGAGCTCTACCACTTGAGCCACAGCGCCACTTCCAGTTTTCTATTGATGAATTGGAGATAAGAGTCTCATGGACTTTTCTGCCCTTTTCTGCTCGGGCTGGCTTTGAACCATGATCCTCAGAGCTCAGCCTCCTCTGTAGCTAGGATTACAGGAGTGAGCCACCAGCGCCCAGCTCCTTTGACTAATTCTATTTGTAAGTGATTATTAGGCTAGGGGTGTGTAGTTCAGAAGTAGACCACATTTTAGCACATGTGAGGCCCTGGGGTTAAATCCTAGCAATTAACAAATAATGAAATACAAGGTAAAGATGTATACATACACACACACATAAACACAATGCTGTTCAGCTGGGCACTGGTAGCTCATGCCTATAATCCTAGCTACTCAGAAGTTGAGATCTGAGGATCGCAGTTCAAAGCCAGTCAGGCAGGAAAGTCCATGAGCCTCCTATCTCCAATTAACCACCAGAAAACCGGAAGTGATGTTGTGGCTCCAGTGGTAGAGTGCTTGCCTTGAGCTGAAGAGTAGAGGCCTAGGCCCAGAGTTCAAGCCTCACAACTGGACTCGCCCCCCCAAAAAAAAAATCTGTACAAATATTGCTACTATCAGGCGTGGTGGCAAAACACTTCTAATTTCAGATATTTGTGAAAATGAGGCAGGAAGGTTGTTGCAGGTCATCCTAGCCAATCTACTAATGCCCCCATCCTCCAATTTCCCCTCAAAAAAAAAAAAAAAAGAACTGAGGGTTTTTCTTGTTTGTTTGTTCTTTTTTGTTTAAGCAGTTGTTTTGGTTTTGTTTTGTTTTTTTTTTTTTTGGCAGAGCATAGGAGGGCCTTTCTATATTGCCAAGACTGGACTTGAAGCCATGGGTTCAAGCAATACTGCAGGGTACTCGTGGCTCACTTATGTAATCTTAGCTACTCAGGAGGCTGAGATACGAGACTCAAGGTTTGAAGCCAGCTAGGGCACAAAAGACCTCAAGACTCTCTCCCATCAGTCAGCAAAAAGTGAAGTAAAGGTGTAGTTCAAGTGGTAAAGCACCATCGGCGAATGAAAAACAATCCTCCTGCCTTAGCCCCCTAAGTTGCTGGGGACAACATGCATGAATCACCATGTCAGGCTTGCATTAATTTTTAAAGTGGCAACTAAATGCCCAACACAGGCTTGTAAATTTGGTTTTATGCATTTTTAAGTCATAAAGGTATTTTACTGAGGATTTTCTTTTTTCTTTATTTTTTGCCAGTCCTTGGGCTTAAACTCAAGGGCTGTGCACTGTCCCTGAGCTTCTTCTGCTCAAGGCTAGAGCTCTATCACTTGAGCCATGGCATCACTTCTGACTTTTTCTGTGTATGTGGTATTGAGGAATTGAATCTGGGGCATCATGCATACTAGGCAAGCACTCTACCACTAAGCCACATTCCCAGCCCTTTACTGAGGATTTATGACAAGCTATATCCACAACACTTAGAACTATCTCAGTTACATTATAAAATATGTATAGTAAAGAAGCAAACAGGAAGTGGCGCTGTAGCTCAAGTGGTAGAGCGCTCGCCTTGAGCTGAAGAGCTGAGGGATAGCGCCCAAGACCAGAGTTCAAGCCCCACGACCGACCAAAATAAATAAATAAATAAAAAGACTCAACTACATTCTATAAAAAAAAAAAAAGCACACATACCAAAATGTTAATATTACAGTGATTTATATGGTGAGATACTGGGATGGGGTAGGAGGAAAGTATTTGCCATTTTTTCTTGATATTCTAGATTTTCAATTTTTTCACACATTATAGCCATTTTTACTTTTTTTTGGGGGGGTTCCCCCCTTCTCTTCCTTTTTTTCTCTCTCACATTTCTGGCCTGGAGTATACTACATACTAGGTTAGCCTTTATCATCTTCCTAGCTTTAAAGAAATCCATCATCTTTTTTTTTCTGTTTTTGCCAGTCCTGGGGTTTGATCTCAAGGCCTGGGCATTGTCCCTGAGCCTCTTTGTACTCAAGGCTAGCCCTCTACCACTTGAGCCACAGCACCACTTCCAGCTTTTTATGTTTATGTGGTACTGAGGAAT